AAAACAGCCTTCAGTTTGAGTCAAATTAATTCCAGTATGGAAACAGAGAAAACCAAAGAACACACACACACTAATGTTTAAAACGAGTCTGAGGCAACATTTTGAAAGACTCTGTTTGGTCTCTGTGTCTACTACATTTTTACTCCTAGTCAAAATGCTATAACTCTATCTCCTGGCCAACTCCTGCCATCAAAATTGAAAAGTGTTTTTAATTTCCTGAATTATGTAGAAAATGTAGATCATGTTTACAAATTTGTAGAAATGGCAAAATTATTATGAGCACGGCTATGGTTATGAAAATACTCTGGCATTTTTCTTTTAATCTGGGTCTTGACTTTGCCCCAGGCTAGGTCATGTTATTATTATCTTAATCTGGAGGAGTTTAAAGCAGGACACAGCAGTTTGTTTACAAAATATCGTTTTGGCAGGGAGACTAGTCCCTATCAACAGATGAATAGAACTACATAGGATAATCATTTAAATGAAGCTATACTGGGTAGAAAAAAAAACTGAGTCCCAGGTTAGGTTCATCTACCAATAGATGAACAATGGAAATGTTTAGAGCAAAACATATTTAAAGACCTGTAGCTGCAGTTTGAGAAAAAAAAAAAAATCTCATAGAGGCAATATACAGCTGCACACTTTACCTTTTTTGATTTGTATGAATATTTAAAGAGACATGCATCATCTGCTTTTTGTTTTGAAATCATGCACTTTGATGTAGCTGTAAAAACATTATAAAGTGTGTGATTCCATGATGGAAAAATCCACCGAGGTTCAAGGGGAATTTGATTCCATGTGAATTTGCCTATCTACTATATTTCACAATTAACCATAAAGTTGCCATGTTAGCTGTCAGTAGTTGCTGACTAAAGGGGAAAAGGGTAAATGTGGAAAAAGTCTAGCTCTACAATCCAAAGATAAGAAAGATTATAACTTTTTGTTTTTTAGTGTAAAGCTAACATTTGGGTTCCGTAAAAATTCAAAAAAAAAAAAACATTTGGCGTTTTATTGGTCAGGAATCTACCTTCAGAGCATGGCTGACCTGCACAGGTTTGAGGCTAAAACTGATGTGGAGTCATCGGTATTACAGAGAGAGCTCATGCATCCATTTACCTCTGGTTGGTCAAGGCTCTTTTTGTGTGAAGTGGCACCAGAACGCTGTATTTGACTTTATAAACAAACAAATAATAAAAAAAATGTTGTTTACGTTTCACCAGCTTTCAGTCCAGATCTTTCTTTTACTGGAAGAATTTCATTGGTTTAAGTGGATCTAGCTGCTGTGATGTAATCCTATCAACAGAACATTAAACCACATGAGTCATTTCCCACACCATATGAAGAGGAACATGAGTAGAGAGTTAAACCCAGGTCAAACATCCTGTAAAAAACTGTTGAACATTACGCGGCTTTACTCGTCAACGCCTCTTTTTAACAGCTATTATTTCTAAGAAGCTTCTGATAATGTGTCACTTTAAAGTAGATAATTGATAAAAGGTTGAAAAAGGACCTAAATGTTTATAATTAAAGTAGATTTCGAATTTAGAATAAAAAAAAATGAGAAAAAAGGCAGAAAATGTTACATGAAAGGATAAACGTATAATGTAAATAATCTTGAATGTTTAGAAATGTTCTTTTCTATATGTTGTTATTAAAAGACAGATGACAAATAACAACTGATTGTCTCATTTTGATCATAAATGTGTGTTTTATTATGCTAATTTAGTTTAATAGCAAACTACTTCATCTTCCTGTTGCTTTGGCCTCATGTTTGTGTTTATACATATTTCTAATTTGTCTTCAACATCCAGAGCTTTCGAAACATATCAGCAGGCCTCATTGTCTCAACTGTGTGTTTTTAGGATGAAGCCGTCAAACAAAGGAAGGAAGTAGGACACACACTCACACACCCACCCAACACACCAACAGACTCGTACACTCAAAGACACACACAGGGAAACAAGAGCAGCTGTGTGTGTGCCTGTGTGGGCCTCTGTGTGAGGGGAAGTCAGCTTCCTTCCTTCACACACTTCCTGTTGACCAACTGATTTAAAGGAGAAAAGGTTCTCACACAGAAACATTGTTTACAATTTTCTGGGGATATTTACAACAAACAAGTGGGTTGACATTAGGAAAACAAACTGGAACTAAACTCTTTCATGTATGTTTTTTTTTTTGTTTTTTTTTTTAGAAAAGAGTTGGGTAAAAAAAAAAACTACAAAGTCTGGATTGATGTCATAACAAAACTGATTATAAAATATTTAGCCTTTGTTAATGTTCTGATGAAGAGGTGGGGAAATATCTCAGTTCATATATGATGAAACTCTTTGAAACAAACTTCTGCTGTTGCCAATAACATATTTTTTTCAACATAGAGGGTTGTAAACTTTAAAACTGTAAAGTTGTTTTTTTTTATGACAGGATAATAAATCAATCATAAAAAACGCCCTTAAATAATACAGTTTAATTCTTTTCTGTTTTGATCAAATTAAATATATTAAAAAGTAAAATTTTACGACAGATAGAGGTCACGTGCTTATGGATTTACCTGTGGACACATGATTGATTGACAGGGCTTGGTGACGTCACTTGTTTGCTTAAAGCTAAGTAGAATCTCAAGCCCCCCAACCCCCCTATCAACCCCCACTTTGTCGTGACCTCAGACTCAGAGATGGTTACCATGACAACAGCAGCGCAGCATCCGCGAGGATGGAGCTTACAGACGGACGCACGGAGACATGACAGGCGGACTGTCTTTGTTCCGCTCCTGTCTAACCCTATCATTCACCTGAGCGCGTGTCCTCCGCTCCCATGGCGCGTGCCTCCACTCATAGCGTCTCCTTGTCCGCGCGTCGGGTCGCCAGCGTGTCTTTCTGTCTTTGTCTTCACCTCTTAAGAGCAGTCGAACCCGCACAAAGAGATGCGGGATGTGAGACACCGCGGGTGGAGGTGATCTCCGTTGGTCTGCTGGATGATCTGTCAAACGGTGTGTCTGTCTGTCTGACAGCGGCTCTGCTTGTTGTCCAGCATCAGCGGGAGGGGAGCCGGTTTCTCGCCGGCAGCCGCAGAACAATGTGTTTGAGGAGGAGGAGGGTGGATGAAGCGCTGGGGAGGGGGGGTGAGGTATGGCTCATCCTGTCCTCTCCCTATCTTAAAGGGCCAGCAGCCTTTTAAAGAGAGAAGAGCGCTTTGCCTGCCAATGTATTTTGATTTTGGGAATATCTTTCAAAAATCTGACCAGTGTTTGAATCCCTGCTCGAATATTAAAAATAATTCTAAACATAAATTAATATAAATCAATAAATGTTTTACCAATAAACACAGTATGTCTTTTTTTTTTATATGATGCTCTGTTGAAAATTATTTTGAAGTATCTCTGGACTGGCAAAATTGTGAAAGAGCCATTAAGTTTTTTTTTTTTTTTTCAAACCCTTCCTGATTAGCTTTTTAAAAACAAAATTTCAAGTCATAATCAATTTCAATATTCTTAGAATTCATGGTAGGGGGTCAGAGGCTATAGTTACATCTTTTTTGCTTTTGATCCATGCCAAGGGCGTTACTATCAGTAAGCAGACACTGCAGTTGCTTAGGGGCCCTGTCGCTGACGCCTGGTGGGTCCCCTATGCAATTGTGGACGAGGATGTCTTTTTGCAGATGTAATGGTGCGAAAAAAAATTCTCATTATCCCACCTGATACTAAATTTACTGACAGGACCTTATTTATACCCCAACACATGGCAGATTTCAACAGGATGGTGAGCCGTTTAAACATGACATCAATAGCAAGCAGACAGTGGTACTTTTAATTACTGTTAATAACTGTGTATAGTTCATTAGACGGTTGTTAAAAACACACTCATATGTTTCAAAGCGTAATAAAGATCTTAAAAGAACAATGTATTTGAGTATTTTATTTTTTACAATACGACTTGGAATTATGGGTAATCCAGAGCGTAGATTGAAGGATGGGGTGTTGCTTACGGGCCTATTGTTGTGTCGTTACGCCATTGACCCACGCAGGTGAAGATAGACCGCTAGTTGGTAAAAACACACATATCATTCTCCCCCATTAAGTATTTCTCAAGGAGTACTTATTGGAACTGTAGCCTCAACTCTGTCAACAATTTGAAAAAAACAAAACAAAAAAAAACTTCAGGAGTTGATTTTATTTCATTTTTTCAGAAAGCATAGTGAGCTTTTATCAGGAATTCAACACATCATCAGCCTGTTGCCATTGGTTACTGTTTACCAATGGAGACATGCACGGACTTAATCTGAATTAGTGTTTTCCAGATTTTCTTTGTTTGGATTACAGTGTATCTGTGTGTGTTCAGGGGGGTGGAGCATTCTGGATTAAAGATTACAGTGTGTATTTCGCTGCCTCTGTGTTCTGTCCTGACGATTATGGGTGCCATATCCCAGCATGCAAGGATGGTGGTTACATCACAGATGTTAGTTCTTCCAAAAAAAGAAAAAACATCACCACAAACTTTAAGTGTTTGAGTTGTTTAAGTTAAACTATCAGTGTTTAGAATTTTGTACTTTAAAAAAATAACAAAAGATCTAACAACAAAATAAACAGACTTTAACAACTTTAAACTTGGTGTTCCACTGATTAATGTCGTCAGGTTTAATTAAACCACATTGTCAAGGGTTATCCATCATTCCCAAATATAGAAAAAATAAATCTCAAGATGAATTTTGGTTTGGTTTGAGTAAAATGTTCAGATGAAACCCTAACAAAAATCACATAATTCTTAATTCAGCATGGTCATTAATATGACAGGCTGAAACCTGGACTCCAGATCTTTCAATATGAACTCAGCATCACTAATAAGTGGCAGGGAGTATTGGTTCAAGTCACAAAAACAACACAAAATTCAAATAAATGTCTTATAAAGAGAATTGCAGAAAACAAAGAACATGCTGTTAAATACAAATAAAACAAAGTAAGAAAAACACTTTTGGATATTAAGACTTTTTTGAATTTATTACACCATATATTTTCATTCATTGGCATCTTAGTAGCACAAAGCAGATCTGTTGTCAAAATGTCAACCTTTTAATTATGATAACATGACAACAATGTGAGATAAGCAGTAAGGAAGCTCAGGAGTGTGGAATATTGATATGTGTTACTACATAAGTGTGTAAGTAAAACAAAGAAGGTGTAGTTGTCATTTAAGTTCCCGATTTTCTGTTTGTTTTTGTTTTAGCTTTTGAGTTTGTTGAGTCATTTCAATGTGATAAATATGTTGGTCAAGAAACAGATTTAAAGAAAGCAAATTTAAAACATAAAAGGACTCGATAAAAGCCACTACTGGTCTTTACTAGTTTGCAATAAAATTGATAACCTGACCACAGTTGTTTTTAATCAAAAGTTCAATATTTTTGCAACTGAGTCTCTAGCTAATAAGGAACGGTTACCCTACCTACATTATCCTAGATCTGAGAGTTTATAAAAATATATAAAAGCACCAAAGCCTAGCAGCTTATCTGTTCTGATTCTAGCAATGAAACTAAAACAATTCAAATTGCAATACTCGTTTGAAACAAGAAATTTATTTGTTAAAAGTGTTCCACACTTTTAAACGATACTGCTGTAAAGTTTGTTTCTGTTTGGAACAGTAATATTTGTATCACCATGCAAAATATCTACGTGCTGAATACTGGCTACCTCATCAGTCTCCCTTATCAGCAATGAAACATCGCTCTGCTATCTAGACTGAAGTAAATATTAATATTATTTATATAATATAAATATTCAAATTTCTATTATTATTATAAAACAAACTGCAAAACAACATGAAAAAAAAATATCAATACCCATTAGTTATTTGTAGCCTTCCACCGCCAAAAGGTTTACTTCATTTCCTTATAACATCCTTTACCTTGAGGGATGGGAACTTTTACTGTTCAGATCAGTTTATTCTAACTTCGTAAATAATGCAAACAATGTAACTGTCCATTTGTGCAAAATATTATTTAGATTCTGTGTGCTTTGTTGTTAAGTAGATGTTTTGGGTCAGTGCTCTCAGGATGTGGTTCTCTCTCTCCAGCTGCTGGTTCTTCTCCTGTAGCTCTCTAAGTTGCCTTCTTAAAAGCTCCACCTCCTCACGCACCACCAGCATTAAGTGACCCTTCACCAGATCCTGTGAACAGAGACATGTGGAGACAGATAAAAAAAAAAACAAAAAAAACGATGTAGATAGGTTTAGCTGGATTAAAACATTTTAAAAAGTATGAAATACGTAGGTGAGGACACGAAAAAAAAGAATAGCTTGAGACCAGTTAATAGATGTAAAATATTCATGGGAAAATAAAAAAAAACTGCTGTATTTCCAAAATCCGGGAGAAAGTGATGCTGCGTTGATCAGAATCTACCAGCAGAGGGTGCTGTTTGAGGCCCAAACAGCCAGAAAGTGATCTCATTTATAGATAATGAAGAATTATTGCAAATTCAACATTAAAATCCCTGAACTTCTCTGTTTTAATGGCAATTAAATAGTGTTGACAACAAAAACAAATACTCACCATAGCCTGTTCGATTTTACCATCAATCTCCAAAAGACTGGAGGAGCTGCAGAGAGACAAAGGTAGGATACTTACAAGCAGAGCCAACAGGTAACACTGGTGAGATCAAGATGGCTTACATGCAATTGAATTATCTTTTATTTGTGCTAGAATAGAGAAACCATTTAAGGGTTATAAAAATAAAAAAGTTATATGAAGATTCACTTATTGTGGACTTTATCTAATGAATAAAATGACAGAAATAGGCTCAAAGTGTAAATGTGAAATCCCCCTTATATTGGAGCGACCTCTACAGTTTGAGCTATTTTACATTGTTAGATTTGAGCAAAGAGTAAAACATAGTCCAAACACATATCTTTTAAAGCCAGGGTCCTTCAAGACAATAAGGTCATCCACTCCAAAACCATTTTTGATGCATTTTTTGCATCATATATGTTGGATTTGTAGCTGTTTTAGTGGCTTCATGTGAAACCCTTATGCTTTCTTGTTTTTTTGGATACACTGTCCTGTTTAAACGTGCTGCTATATCAAAGCTTCAATCATGTTTTCCAAGCTATTACCTGAAGATTAAACGAAATGGGTTAGTATATAAAGGACTTCCAAGGCTCAAGCACAGATAAACCAGAGGAGGCTTTACCCAGGAGTACCCTCAAAAATAACTTTAACAACCTTCCAGACAAAACAAAGATTAAGTTTGATGGCATCATACTGTGAGCTTGCTTTAAAGTCTGCAGTACTGTTGCGGTTCACACAGTAGATTAAATAAGAAAGACAAAAGACTATCTCCAAAGTGATCAAACATTTCTCATGTCCACAACAAACTATTTAAAACTTTCAACACTGGGTGTTCTACCATGATAATGCTTGACGATAGAAAACATAACTTGATTTCAAATGGATAAGCAGTGTTATATCAATCCACTTGAAAAGACTCAACCATATCAACTAAAAAAGGATGGTTAAAAAAAGCATCCTTAGATGAAAACAAACAATTTCTCAATTTTTCCACACATGTACTAACATTCAGATACAGTGAAAAAGAATAATTGTGTAATCAATCTCTATATCTTGTTAATTTTTTCAAATAATCCAAAAGTTCAATATTCTTAATCTAAACTTCCACCTAAAATTTATCTATATATTACTTAAAGACCATTTTATATTACACTACATATGACCGTTGTTTATTGAGAGTCCCGCAGAGAAGATAAATAATCCAGCTCAATTTGCTTGCAGTAGATACTAAGAATAATAATAAAAAAAAATTAACTTAAAAGCAATGGCTGACAATAAGGTTGTAAAATATTACCCAAGGTGGGTAACAAAAATAAATGTTTATATAGTTCTCTGGCAATTGGGCCTTTGTAACCCAAAGAAGTCAGCAACAAAACAGTGATACTGAGCTAGATAACAGGTATGGTAATTGGTTTGACTATAAACAATTAATTCATATATGTGTGAAATTTGCCCTCTGATAAGCTCAGCTCCCATTAAATTAGATATCGTCTGCACCATTTGATCCCCATGGTTACCTGTGGCAAAACAGCAGTAGTGAGATCATGGTATAATCAGAACGTCGCCCATTGGGCGAGGCTCTAGCAGGAACTGACCGATGAAGAGAGGCCGCAGGAAACTGAGGATTCTGGGACACCGAGGCAGTTGGAGGTAATGAGACGATCTCCGATCTCGGCCTGCTGGAGGATCGTTGACGAGTTTCTGCAATCGATTGAGCTCTGGAGGGTGGAGTCAGAGATCTCTGGTTGGATGTTGGAGTGGCGCGTGGCCAGGACTCCCGAATGGCAGAGACCTGACCTTTGACCTTTCTACGCTCCCGCAGCACAACAGGTGCTTGTGGTTGCCTAGCAACTAGCTGAAGAGACCTAAGAGTAAGAGGAGGGGTTGAAAGAGGATAGCGCTGAGACTGAGTAAGAGTGGAAGAGTTGGAGATTGCAGAGGATGAGTGCTTCTTCTTTGCACTAGCGGACATCTTCTCTCAGTCATCAGTCTCTGGTAGCAGGACTCTCAAATCAGGAACCAGCAGCATTACTTTCCAAATAAAGTTCATCTAGAGTTTAGAAATATGACAGGCGATCAAAGTCCAGCTTGGGGAACAAACATTCACTCAGAACAATGCTCACCCATAGATTGTTATTTAAAGCCAAAGCAAGTTGTTTTTCATTGTCTTCATTATCCGTTGTTGATGTCTTCATACATTTTTGTACTCTTTTTGAAGGATAATTAACCCTCATCTAGGTCCAGTTTGTCATCTCAGGACATGTTAACTTTATGTAGTAACTTGTGCTTCCAAGTAGTCTTTTTCTCCCACTCCCACTTTGTGTGATCTCTGGTTGGCCAATTCCTCATTCCAGTTCCTTCCCACTCACTGTTCTCAGCCAGTGAGAGTGATGCAGAAGCACTGTGCTCAGCCTACACACACAAACAGAGCCTCATTCATAATGACACTGAGCATGATGTTTATCATTTTAGTCAGCCCCTCACACTGCTGTGAAACAGGATGTCTAATAAACTTAATTCTTTTCTGACACAAGGTTAATTCTAATCCCTGAAGGCAGGTAACCATCAAGAAGCTGTTGATGGGTAGACAATGATGTGCTTTAATATTATACACAAAGCAAAATTTGATTAAAAAAAACAAACAACAACAGTGTGACATTACAGATCTTCATAAACGCTGTGATGCTGACTTGTTTACTGATAAGTGGTTATACTATTACAGATAAAATCATTTTGACGATGAATTTTGAAGGAGACCCCTTTGCTTAAAGTGGGCAAAGAATATAAAAGTTAAACAGGTTTTCATCCAAACAAGGAGGGTTCCTGCATAGATATTAAAAACCAGTTCTGATGTGACTGAAGGCCGCTGTGTTGGATATAGACAGTATTAGGCAGAGATCAACCCACTAGAGGTCACAATTCACCATAGCCATCTCTACACAGCTAGAATAGAACTGATCTTTAATATATATGGATGAACCCAGCTTGTTTGGATGAAAACCTACTTTGATTTCATATTCTTCTCCTGTTTTACACTTACCTGTCTTCAAACTTTATTGTTTAATTATTTAATCTGTATCAGTAACAACAATTAATTAGTAACAACAATTATTATTACTTTTTGGTATCAACATAAAAACATTTGAATATTCTACATAAAATATGGACATTAATAAAAAAAAACCCATTATTAATTCATCCAAATATAAATAAATGCAAAAAGTCATTTATTGTTGTTTTATCTCAGTGACGTCAAGTATTGAAAAAGGGTGGCCTTCATTTTTTGGGAGGAAGCCAAAGTAGGCTACCCAAGAAGAACCAACGCATGCACAGGGAGAACTTCCAAAGTCCATGCAGAAAGACCCTGACCCGGGAATCAAACTTCCCACTCTGACACTGTGCAGCCTATTCTATTAATTACACTTTTTATTATTGTAAGAAACCCTTTTTTTTTTTTTTTTTTTTTTTTTTTTGCTTTTTCAACCTTCGTGACCCTTTTCATCGCATTAGCTTGTCTACAGTAGAGGTATAGCCCAAACGATTTTAATGAAAAATATGATACTGATGAAGTCAACAGGATTCTCAAAAGGAGATAAAACAAAATATAAATAAAATAAAAATGATTAAGGATTTCTGTAAAGATAAAGTTGCATTTTTAAACCAATACACATTTTAGATTGTATTTTTTAAATATCAAGATTAGTAAAGAAAAACAGTTGCTATTTTTTTATTTTATTTCTACCATTTTCAGAGGATTAAAATAAGGCCACTGCTTGTGTCTGAAAAAGTGCTATAAGCACAGTTTGAATTATATTATATTAGAAAGACATTACCACGATTGTATCAGTTGTCACCGATGACCTTATCCCAACTAAAACGTGCTAATTTTAAACCCTGAGGACTTCCACACTTTATGCTGCCCTATAGCATGATACATTAACACATACTTGAGGCTTTCACAGCTATTGTCATAGAAGTTTGAAAATAGGGTTTGGTTTCTTTATTATTTATGCTGTAATTTCTTTTTTTTTTCTTTATATATGACATGTTTTATATATCTTAGTATCTTAGTTGTTGATTTTGCAATAATTGTTCATTGGTTATTCAGTGCATTGGATTTGCAGGTTTTTTTTGTTTTGTTTTGTTTTGTTTTGTTTTGCTGTGTTTATTCTGGTCACCCTCACCTGTCACTCCATTTTCATCTTCTTCTTTTATGTTCCCTTTAGCCTAAGCTGTCTCACAACATCAGGTTAGGAACTAAAAGGTTGAAACAAGTTGATAATTTCAGAGTCCTCCCTTATAGAGCAAATTTGTCAAGTCATTAGAAAAGCTATCAGTCACACCTTACCGAAGGCCTAAATAACAGACAATACTGGCTGAATAATAAACTAAAAAAAAAACTAAAAAAAAAATTGGTCTGTTAAAAATGAGCCATCATTCTTTGGTCTGAGAGCTTTATATCCAAGGAAACTCTGGTGTGGTTTGCTTCGTTTGTGAGACAAACCAACCTCATTAAATATGAACCAACAACAGAAGACATACTTTTTTATAAAGGTATTTTGATGAAAAGGTCACATCTCAAATGGAAATTAAAATGTTGTAGTAACAATTTTTTTATAACTAGTTATAGATTTACATAGCTGTGGACAGGAAAGGATCTTCAGTAACTGTATGTCTTGACTTGGCGAAGCCTTTAAATGAATAAACAACTCTGTTAAACTTTAAAAAATCTTCTCAAGAGGATTTCCCCTGATATTCATTATGCTCTTTATTTTATGAACAAATCTCATCTCATCCCAGCCGCTATCCTGCAATCGCAATGTCGGATTTCATTTCAGACGACAATTCACCCACCTCCATCCCCTTCTCCGCCATCGCAGCTGAATCGTCCTTCATGACACGACTTCACCTCAACCTCATCAGAGAGTATTAATCCCAGTTGTCACCATCCCTCGTCTCATCGCATTGGTCCGGCAGAAGACCACCATGTTGAGCCCGGTTCTGCCAGAGGTTTCTTCCCAAAGGGGAGTTTTTCCTCTCCACTGTCGCTTCATGCTTGCTCATCATGGACAGTTCATGGTACCTGCATCACCAAGCAGGACCTCTATATCCCGAGTCTGAGTGAAGCCCCGGCGTTAGGTCTCTCGGTCTTCTAGTCCCACAATTCTGCCCAGCAGATCTTCTTGTCAACCAGCTCGGATCAAACCACCACCAGTTTCAGGCCGGGGGGAACATCCCTATTCTCATTCATCTACTCATGCATGTTAAAGCATAATTCAGCATGAATGTTCCTGCCGAGGTCTGAGCGCCAAAGACTATACTTTCTTATCAATAAATTCTTCTAATTATCTTTTCTCTCTGTGTGAGTTTTTCAGATTGAAATATAAGTAATACCTTTATCTTTATCTTTTCCTTAACAACTCTGCTGTCGCCTTGTCACAGCGTCTCCTTTAACTTTTGTCATGTATTTTTCAAAGTTGTTCCAAAATAAGAAATACATTGTCACAAATAAACAAACAAAAAATTTTATTGAATGAGTAATAATAGAATAACTTTGCAGTTCAATAACAGTGCGAATTTGCAGAACAAAACAGCAGAGTAGAGCTATTTCTGAGAATTCTGTGTTACACCCTAGTAATTTTTGTCCTTTCGATTCACTTAAAACACCTATTTTTGTCTACAAGTTGTAGTTCATTTCAAAAGGTACAAAGTAAAACGGAAACTGAGCCAAACAAAAAACATCCATACAATACAAGCAGACCAAGGACTCTGGTGTAAAACCATTTTTTATTTTTATTAAAAACTAGAAAATATTTTAGTCATTTTATATTTTGTGTTAAGTTATCTAGTTTTCGAAAGAAAAAAATTATGCTTGTGTAACCAGGTATAAATTCCCACCCGTTTTGGGCCCTTGAATGGATCAATGCCCCGTTTCTCCACCTTCACGTCTGTTTTACAGGATTGATGGGCTCGTTACCGTATATAGGCACCAGGTGTGCCCAGCAAGCTATGAGAGTCAGCTCCATTTGGTGTGCAGTAGATTCTGTCGAATGAGCGTCGTGAGCTGTGCTGCTACACCAGGATTTGGATCCTGGATATTCAAGCTGCTGGAAGAATTGTGGGTTTTCACTGCAGCGTCTGCATATACCCATATGTGTGGTTGATGTAGGTACATGATTTTCATTTTAACTCATGGCTTTATTATTGCCGGCACTCGGCAGACACTTTATTGTCATGTTTGGTTGTTACAAATTGCAACTGTTACATATTATGCTCTCACCAACGGGACCTTTTTTTTTAGATGCTCCTGGTTAATAGACTAAAAGTTTTTCTCTAAATTTGGGGTTTGTAGCACTACAAGCACTACATAAGCAGAACAACAATTCATTTCTTTTATGAATTAGCTGATTGGGCTCAGCTCTACAGGACTGGGTGACACAACGTGAGATTCATTTTTCTAACTTAATATGATTTTGTCTTATCTTGTGTGTTACTAATGTGGGTTGCAGTGTATTTCTAGAATCTCAGATTGCTTCTTGTTTTGTCATGGGTTCCTGTGCCTTATTGGATTTAAAAATAAAATATTAAAGTTTTTCTTCCAATTGTAAAAGAATGCATAAACAAAATATATTTTGTATACTATTTCTGTTTTATCATTTTACGCCAAACCTACCTATGTACTTTTAATTGGGATACCCTAGGCCACTTGATGTTATTTTCAGAGGTCTACTAGTTGGTTTTAGGGCCACGTCCTCATTCACAAACCGGGTTATTCCCCCGTGTTAAACTTGTTTTGTTTTACAGAATTGTAGCCGAAAATCTCCCTCTTAGAGCAATGTGGGGGGGTACGCTCTGCTATGATGTCCTGGTTATGGTCATTTAGACAGGAACCCTCAGTTAAGCTAATCTAACACCTGCTGCACAAAGAACCATAATGCAGCTGTATGTGGTGATGAGGTTGAAGACCTCATTATAAACTCTTATAAGTTTTTCCATCTTTGCCCTCTGCTTTATGTGAAACTAAGATTTAATCACGCTTTGAAGGAGCTTACTTTCCTCAACAAAGAAAGTAGAGACATACTGCATTATTACTATAATATTGTTAAACTTCNGAAACTAAGATTTAATCACGCTTTGAAGGAGCTTACTTTCCTCAACAAAGAAAGTAGAGACATACTGCATTATTACTATAATATTGTTAAACTTCTTATTTAAAAAGTGTCACTAAAAGACATATTACTGTCATGCCAAATAAATGGTTGACATTAATCAAAGGCAGATGTGCTCTTAAA